TCTATGTCATTCTTCGCATTATATAAATATATTGCAGTAGTAATATGTCTCGTTCCATGTGTAAATTTTTTTAAATATTGTCAAAATATTAGAATGTTCTGTGAAAATTAGTAATTTGACTTTCAAAATAATTATATAAATTGTCTCCTAAGGCGTATAAATTGAGTCGAAATTTCAGGGTTTTGACAAACAAAAAAACTAACCGTATAAATAATATAAATTATGCTGTAATGTCGTCTTCAAGTGTGTACTTATAAATAAATATATTCATTCAAACAATAGAAATAGCTGTATTATATGCTGTACTATTCTAGCGTGATCGAGAACACTGTTGCCATGAAGTATTTATTTTTAGTAAAACCTTATACGTTTATGATGGAATTTTTTTTCTGTCTAAAATAAACTAAATGCCTTTAAAAAAACGTGGTGTAGACATAGGTTGATAAATTAGTATACAGTTATTACTTAATAGACAATCGACTTAAATTATAACTTTACATTTTACACTATACAATTGTAAAATTACTATATATTTCAGCTTCTTTTTCCCCCTATTGAACCTCGTGTCACGAGTAAATTTAAATATAATTATTTCTACGCACGGACATAAACAGTTTAAAAAAAAAAAAATGAATTTTTTAACTAGTTATAGGTATACGTGTGAAATTCATTTTAAAATAAGTCTTACATGTTGGTATTATTCGAGAGTATCTTGATGTGTTCTATGTTTGTGAATTATATATATATTGATACATAAAAAATACCGGTTCGTAGTTTTTTAAGTTGTTTCCTATTCGAAATGAAGACGTTAACATATTATATTGTTGTATAGTAATTTATTCACGAAGAAAATACAAACACTCAATTTGTTGTATTTTCGTTTCTATAAAAGTCGCCGCAGTCATCATTGTCGTTGTCGTGTAGCGGTATCTATAATTAGTACAAACCATACTAGGATTCATACCTAACATTGATAATAGTTTTACGATATATTTAAAAAAATTATTTTTTTCTTTAATCGTTTTAATCGTAAATATAATTTACTGAATACCTATAAACTACCTACGCATTATAATACAACTATCTATCTTCGTTCATGTATTTTAAGTTATTCTGCAGCCAAACTAAAATATTTGCAACGTGAATATCGTTGATCACGTGCGTTGAAGTCACCGAAATGAATATTGCAATGTTCAATACAAAATATTGACCGAGTGACGATATATATAATATATTGCGGTCAGGGATAAGCATAATATCTTAGATAAAAAAAAATTCTATCTCCTGTCTTTTGACATTTTTAATTGTATACAAATAATTTTTTTTTTTTTTTTTTGCTGTAAATTATACCTTTTTTATTTTATGTGAAGATATAGTAGACGCGTAAAAATAATTTTTTTAGAAATTAAATAAAAAAATATAAAAAAAAAAAATATGATTTGGAATTACACAAATTTAAAAGAATTTGCACTTTGTAGTGTATTGAAATCTATATAGTATGAAAATAAATAAACTATGCCTACTTAAAAAATTAAACAATTATGTGTATGCATAATATTGTTTAGGTATAAACGTATAAATTAACTCAGATTATGGTAGCAGTGGAAATTAGTTCCGAAACCCAAACATCTTAGGGACTCTTTTTCTCAGTAGGTCTAGTACATACAAGAGAGTAGTTTTACATTTTAGTTATTTTACTTATTACAATAATTGTTTAAAAAAAATTATATTGCATTTTATAGTACCTTAAGATAAAAAAAAAAAACAGAAGCATAAAAGTATCTAGTATTTTTTCAAAATGTATTGAATTCATATTTTATACTTAAATGATATTTTTCAGGTATAATTTTATTCTTGCTTATACCTTATCGTTGATAAGTAAATATTATTATTATATATACGATATACTTATTAGTTATTATATAGTAGTCTAAATACGGTCTTCTAATTATTCTGTTGATTAAACAAATGATTATACAGTTTTACGTCACATATATATATAATACAGTATATGTATGTCTATAATATTATATAGTTTTTAGACATTCAGTACTAGCATTTGTACAATTAGAGTAATTAGACAATAAAACATCATTAGAAAAATATTATAATATTATGCATACGTTTAACACAATTGTTTCTATTTCTATTTACCTACTTTTCTATTATAGGTACACCTTGTATTCATTTTTGTCTATGGTTTTTTTGTTCATCGTTAAATAACAACTAATCCGTCATATTATATAGCTATATAAACATAGAAATAAACATTTATACACGTGTACATATTATGATATATATATATTTACAGTAGTTAATTAATTTATCATGGTGGCGTACGTGTTCCTATAATACCTTATTCAATACAATGTACACAATATTTTACCAACATTGAACACTTTCCTCTCATTTAATCTCAAAAAAGTGTGTGTCTAAACGACTATAAACTAGTTAATCCAAATATTGTTCACGCGGAGACAGGATTGTAGGTATACATATACATATACGTATCTATTACATAACGGTAACTGTCATTCAATACGTAATAAGTAATAACGTTATTCCGTCGGCCAGTGAATAACCTATACAGGACACATGACTTATATACAAATGTATTTATTTTATATTTTGTAATTACAACAAACGATATAATAATATAACAAATAGTACGCTAGCTATAAAGTTTCGTTACCTACCTACTATACATATTATACATATTACGAGCTATTATCTGTATTATGTTTGTACGCAAGGTGGTTTTTTCGTGTAATTATTTCCCTATCGGATATTGAGGAGGACTCATATAGGTACGCGTGTCCGCAATCAGTACGATATAATTTGTATTCTTTTTGAATAATGTTTCCTAAAGGAGAAAAAAACGTCGAAACTTCAACAAATATTCAAAATAATGAATACAAAATATGTATAGTATATTAAAATATGTAAAAAGTTACACATTACACTGAAAATATTATTTTAATCTCTAGTTTTTGTAAGTAATATGAAGTTAAAATTACCGAGTTACGAAATAATATCTCCATACAAAACAATGTATTTATCATTAAGTGTACGACAAGGTGACTAACGTGGATTTAATAATTTGTTTAAAAACTAATAAGTATTCACCTTCTCGTAGTATGCACCTTGGTTATTACATACTAATAATGTTTGAATTATAAACTTTACCGTGAATAATAGAACTACATAATTATTAAAACAATCCATTTCCCATTCAATACTGAAAATTATAATAATATATTAACAAAAAATATACGACTTAAATTAGGAAGGTACTTGTGTTTTCAAACTAAAGACATCAAATTCCATAAAACCATGAGAACAGATGTTTCCCAGGAATTATAAAATTACGTTAATTATTGTTGTAAGCAGTTTTGTAGCATTATGTTTGACTCTTGAACAAGAATTTTAACCTAAAATGACCTTGTATTTTTTTTAAATAAATACGAACCTTTTTCAAATTATTTCAAATATCAGTGTCCATCTTTTAAATACACATATATTATCTATTAACTTTAAGTTAGATTACTTAGGTACCTATTGGAAATTTATTTTAATTAACTATTCTGATGGAATCGTGCAATTTAAGTAGATAGTTTAATTGAAATCTATTCAATAAGAACATGTTATATACTATAATGTACACCAAAATTATATTAGAAGGTATTTTCGGAAACAACGAAACTGATTTGTCATTTAGGAAGAAAAAATAATATATTTAAATATAGGTTGATATGATAATGTGAGAAAATCATAGTACCTACACAATGTCTAGTCTTCTAATGAATGGAAAAAACCGAATAATTAAAAATTAGGTTACCTACTTTAAATATAAATTGCCAAGCAGCTAAAACCTGTGCAGTTATTATTAACCTTAAGTATAAAAATGTTTAAGTTATGTATAATAAAATAAACAATTGTTGGACTATACATAGTTCATATTCCAACAATGTTATATTATAAATCTAAGCATAAAAGATCATAAATCGTATCAAGTTTACAAATTCAATTAAACAGTTTTAGTATAAGATGATAGTATTGATAAAAGATAATAAATAAGTCGAGTCAATAATAAAATTATAGTTTTGAATACAAACGAAACTTATTAAAATCTTCAGTTATATTGAAAACTATATTTTAAAAAAAATGAAATTTTTATCACTAATAATAATTGCATGTTTATTAAATTTTTAAAAAAATGCAAAAAAGTATTATTCGAAATAAAGCATGTTGGTTACAAAGATAATCATTTTTCATGTATACATATTTTTTTTTAAATATCTACGAGTATAGTATTATTCAAAGAAGTTAGCAAGTCATAGTAGGTATATATTAATATATTATGATGATTGATGATTGATGACAAATTGAAAAAGAAATTTATCGTGACGATAATAATATTATGATGTGTACCTTATCACAAAGACGGTTTGAGAATACAATATTGTTGATGCTGTGCTCCACCAATACGTATATTAATAGGTTGGTGACTGGTTTAAAATTTACTTAACGTAACGTATAATTTTAATTTCAATAGAGCAAACAATGATAATAGTGGTAGAAATGTGTTTGCTTATTAAAGTTAAGAGTTATTTTTATTACAAATTCCACTAAAGGAGTGAGATGGGTAACTGTGTGTCTTATACCACTTAATACACTATAATACTATCTAACCATCCACACAGTTGGGTGTTACACGATACGTGTTCGTAGCGGTATAACTGAGCTAGCCTAGTTATAGGATTCAGAGTGCACCCCAAGTCTTTAAGCAATTTTCAGGGTGTTGTGTATACAAATATCTATTATTCGACATGATATTATATTATTACCGTATACGTTACTACCCCATGCAAAGCGCGTTAGCAAATATTAAGTATATTATTACTCAACATAACCCCGTTGTAAAATAAACGTCATTAAATAACACGCGGCAAAGCCAAATGTCGACCGTGTTGTGGAAATAAAACGAAAGAAGAACTCACTTTTGAATATGCGGTGGACGATGGACACGGTTTTGTCATCTTTACAAAACGTGTGTCGGATAACCACGCCGATCGGGGTGCGCCCAGTCACAGACGCCGAGCCGGAAAAGTTCCTATGGAGACACTGTTGACGGGCGGACAGGCAGGTAGGTATGAAATGTCAGTACTCGAAAGATCGAGTGCTTGCAAATTCGTTGGTTTGCAATGATATTGTATGCGGCTGTAACACGGACACCGGTGAAAACGTGCTGAGAAAAGAGTTAAGCAAAAACAGCACTGTGGTCGACACGGCGATATCGGTGGTCCGACAGTCGGTGTAGGCGATGCTAAGTCAATCGACTCGGGTAGGCACCTTGTGCGTGTGTGTGTGCATTTGATAACCGACAACTGACTTGGCGGTTCACGGGTCGCCGGTCTCGCGGAAAGACGGTTAGATACTGACGACTGCTGCGGCGGCGGCGACGGCGGCCGGTCGGCCTGCTACTTCTATGTTGTTATTATATTCTCGTCCTTGTTCTTGGCGGGGAGACAGTCGGCAGCCGGGACGTATACCTATACGTATAATATATTACATATATTTTACTTGCAGCAGCCTGCCACGCCGTTGTATATACGCGTACGTATAATACTAGTGTGTTTGCCCCGCGGAGAGAACAGTCGAGCAGTATACATGCAGCAGGTACCTATATAATAACGCAATCGTATACAATAATAATAATAATAGTAATAATATTGTGTACCCGCAGAGTACACAATATAATAATATCATAGTGGTGGTCAATGCACTTCGGGTTTTGTGCCGCGAGTTCAGCCCGATACAACGTAGGTACGGGTATGCGCGCGCGGTGTAAATATCTGTACCCGCCGTGAGTGTTTGTTTAGTACGCGCATTAGACACACACATACACAACACGAATTATGAATATAAAATAATATTGAATTATAGTTTTCGACGAAACAGCGAATTGTGTGGGCGTTCGATCGCAAAAACATAAAAACACAATTTCGTAAATTTTTACTATAATTAACCATGATATTACTATGTATGTGTGTTTTAGATACCTGTGTGGCAATATATATTATATTTTGGTTGAAATTCCACTACGTTATGAATCGCATCTTATATAAGCGATTGGACTTTTTAGCATTTTTTTCTGACGATGATAAGCGATTTACATTAAGTATAGGGTTAATCTGTGTAAATATTCTCAAAGTCTTAAAAACATAATATTGTCTTCATAATAAGGCGTAAGTATATTTTAGTTAGGGAGTATCCAATGGGGTGACGAGAGTGTCATCATCACCCACTGCTTTTTGGTTTTTTATTTGTCTGTCTATTTCACATCTTTTATATTGTTAAGATGAAAATTCATGTTTTCAATATTTTCTTCTGAGTGACGTACAATATAAGTTAAGTTGATTGGCGACAATAAAATAGATAAATCACATTAACCGCTATCATAGAGTGATTTACCCCAAGATGATATTAATAACTAATAAGTAATAACATGCGCATAATATACAAATCTTTATTACGCGTGATTAATGAAATACATATAATTATAATAAACTAGGACTTATGGGTAAATGGAAGAATATAAATTTGGTTATGACGTGGTCTGAGTAAAAGATGCATATATCCCTCCCGCTTTTTGAAAAAACTGAGAAATCCACTTTATTTTAGTAAATCACTTAATAATATTTATACACAAAGCTAATATATTATTAACAAAATATATATAGACAAATAAATTAAATTGTATATAAATAGCAATTTAAATTTGCTAATATTCTTTTAAACATTATACCCGATGAAATTTTTTTTTTAATCTTGAACCAAATTCGGTGCAAATTACACCTCTTTATTATTATGGGTGTACACGCCTATATCTTCTTGCTATGTATAATATAATTAATAGGTGTACTGCAGTAGCATACTATTATTGTTTAGTATTCGCGTTGTGTTCTTAGCGGAGAGCGTAAATATTTTACTACCCAAACGGTAAACGATGAAAAAGAACGGACGTGACAAGAATATCGTGGTTTTACGTTTTCATCGACCGGTAGAGGTTTTCACGTTTAGTTTGTTTATTTTCACATTATGGTTAATATCGTTTTTAAAATAAATAAATCGACGATAGTTGATTTACGTCTTATTCGTTATTCGTATTACATTATATCAATCGGATGATTGCATTCAATAGATTGTGTTGGGCATAGATAGGCACTTCTGTAGATTTACGCTGAAACCGCGATGCACACTAGAATAAATAAAAAATTGTAATTATATTCTATAGTTAAGATTTAAGATCGATAAATTTGCAGATAATTGGTGGACCTATATAAATGTGTTCAATTCATAAAAAAAAAAAAAAAAAAATAGTTATAAAAGATAAACAAATTATTATTGGACACTAATGTGTCATAAAGGTGTTTATATCACTGTACATTTTATACTAAATTAGCAGTAAATATTACAATGTTACAATTATTTACATTACTTCTTTTTTGCAAGAATATTATCATTGTTGTCCTCTGAAATTTTTTTATAAAATATTCTGTTTTTTTTTTCTTGCAGGTTCTTTAGTTCTTGTATATGTGGGTCAAGATGAATTTTAATTTATGCGTGCGTAGAATAATTAGGCATGATAATTGTGTAACGTTATTCGAGTGTTATAAAATTAAGTAGGTATATAATTTTATTGTCTGAAAATGTATGCATCTTATTGAACTCAATAATGCAACTATGAACGATTCTGTATAAGATACGTACCTACGAACTTCGGTAATAAAGCGTTATTGTAAAACTACAGTAATTTATACAATGGAAATTAATAATATACATTATAGCATTTACTAATGATAAAGATAAGCAAAATAAACCATCCTACATTAAATATATTTTATATTATACCAAACATAAAAATATAAATAATTATCTATAATAATAGTACAATGTATATTTTAAAATTTAAGCCGTTACGCAATACAAATTAAAAAAAAAAATTAAATGAATATTAGTTTTAAATAAACCTATTTAATATTATTCATTTATACCTACTTATAGGCAATATTATTGATCTGATAGGGTAAGCTATGTTAAATGATTAATATTAATACAGATTTAAAATATATTTATTGTAACACATCTAATAGTTGTTTTTTTTAATAATTAATTTTTATATTACCTGCAATTTTAAAGATTAGGCAGTAGGTATCTATACTGAAGAATAAAAATAGGAACTAGTTTGGGGACTTTAACGCCTAAACAAAATGCTTATTAAGAACTTAATTATTAACGAATTACAGCATTTAAACATCATTACTTACTGAAACATCTATAATCTTAATCTATTTTATTATAGTTATAAGTCATTTTATAATATTACAATATTTATTGAAATAAAATATTTTTTCATCCAGCATATATGGGTATAGTTTTTTTTTTAAATTATACTTATTTTAAAATTTTATAGTGCATATTTCACTTATTTTTAGTGTATAAATGCATGCATATTTAAGACTATTTTAGTGCATGAAATTTACAGCTCTACTTATAACCTTCGTCTTTGATGTTTTTTAATTGTCAAGAATAAAAAATAAAATTACTAACTAACTTATACAAACATGTTAAAAATAAATATTTTTAATCTTTTTGATTATTGTACCTATAATATATTTTGAAAAATACATAAGCTAAAAAATTGTAACAAAATCTTGAAACTACCATAAAAAAAATAAATAGTTAAACTTAATATCACAGTAAAAGTAAAACACGTTATACTATATAGTTTTAATTCTTCCATAAACAGTTGATTATAGTTACAATCAAGTAACTATATTAAATTTAAGTGGAATAAAGTTTGGTGATACCTAAGACATTATAATAACTTGATGCTGCAGTAATTATGTAATATTTAAATCTTCCGATCTAGGATATTATCAACTAAAATGTTTTTAGTTTTGTACAAGTTACATGTTAATAATTTCTTTTCGGTACCTAGATACAAGATAGTTATGTTATATACATACGATTTATAGATATTTTTATATATAGAGTGATCCACTAAACACGCTCAATATCTTTTTTCTTCAATAAGGCAGTTATTTAAAATCTGATTATACGCATTCTTAAATATATTTAATGGCTACCTATATTATTAAATTCTTGAGACTTTTTGAACAACATAATTAATATTATTTATATTATAGTGTTCTGTACTCCTGTGGAAATCCACACTTTTATTTTTCAAATAATAAACCTTCTTTTTCTATTATAAATTATTTATTTTTTAAATTTTGACGTATTAAAATAAAAATACAAAAGAGTGATTTTTAAGATATTTAACTCAATGCACTAAGAAAAAAATGATAATACATCCATGATAACAGGTTTAGTATCCACTTATAGCAATATTGTGGTATTTTAGACATTTTAGTAATTAATACTCATATTTATCCATCAACATGAATTATGATTTGTAAAAATGGCCCAAATATAATAAATACTAGATTCAATATTGTATATATTTAATATTTTTATACAACTATTTTAAAGGATTTATATCCTTAATGTAGACATTTGAATAACCGACAAACTACTTGTCAACATTTTTAATTATTATGTACATTAAAATTTGTTGAGTTCTCATTTGAAAAATAGAAATTTGTATCATCACAGAATATTTCCTAAGAATAGTACAAAAATATCTAGAATATATGAAAACATGATTTTTAAACGTGTTTACAAATCAAAAAAATTAAAATTTAAATAAATGTATTAATAAATGAAAAAAATTAGGGTGTTTATGTTTGGTGAATTATTGCTCTGTATGGTATCATAGTAATATCTATACACACATTAAATAAACACTATCCGATGACGCGGCGCGCGCTGTATTTTTTGTACAAAAGACAATAGCGGCATCGTAATTACGAGCAGCTAGTGGTTACTGATTACCTACTATTATACGTATTATGAAGCTATAATATTATGTACATAGCTATCGTGTTATTATTCAATGCCTATATTTAATATGTAAACATAACTATGGTCTGATGTACAATATACAGGCACATAAATATATCTTTCTTGGGATTTGGACGGCGCATCACCCGTGGGAGAAATGCTCGACACGCCTATCATATTCACCAGCCCCGGGTTTTTTGACAACGTGCACTGTCTCGATAGACAATACCATTTGTAATACAATTCTGCAACAGTATAATATTATAGATAGGTAAAATATCATGATAAAATAATAGACTTTTGTTATTAGGTAATATTATCGAAAAATGTGAGCGTTTTGAAAGCCAGCCAAAGGCTACTGCATACATTTTTACACATACGTACATACAAAAAAAAAGTATTATTTGGCTATAAAGTAAAGCTATAATGGTTAAATACTTTTTTGTATGAAAATTCT